CAAAATTCACAAAACCCAATTGCTCTTCCTTCTATCTTTTTTATCTCTCCCAAAGAAACTCCATAGAATACCAAGCAAAGGAGGGTTATAGGTCTGAAAAAGATCAAGTTTTCTCTATAAAACTTCATCAATTAGTACGGTATGAGATTCCTTTAACCTTTGGGATCTCTTTCCTTGAAGGGTTCCTCCAAATTGATTTCAAAAAGTTAAGTTTCATGTGGGTTTCCTTCCAATACAAAATTGATCTTACGAATTATTTTGTTTATGATTTATGTTGGTTATTATGATTATATTAACATGTATATGATTTAATTGTATTTTTGTGGAAGATGACCTTTTCCCTTTAACCCTAGGTTGGGATCTTGAATTGAATTATATAGTATTGATACAATTGGTTTGGTTAATGTGTGAATTACTATACTATGTTGATATTATTACAATTTATGAGTAGATTGTGATGTATGGTAATCTATTATGCTAGTTCTTGATTTAATTGACATAGGTTGTGAAGTAGATCATGAATTTGACCTAAGTCTCTAACCCTAGGCTATGAACTACTGATGAATCATTGTGTATTGATTCAATTGACATTATTAATATGTTGGTTACAATGGTGTGTTGGTATTACACATATTTTTTGGTTGAATTATATTATTGATGGTAAGACCTTGATGATGACATGTGAAGGAGATTGGGGTAAGTCTTGTAATCTCAATTCTTTACTTCAATTGTGATTGCTTGTGATTAAGTGATGATGTTGTATTGAAGTATACCTTATGTTAAGATTGATAGGGTTGGTATTATGTTGAATTGGAATGTCTTGAACTATGGTTTTTGAGTTGTTGGCTAAGATGTAAATGTTATAAGGATGGTGATAACTTACCAATGTGCCTTATCATGATGTAATTATGTACATATGCTGACCTCACATATATGAATTGTAATGAAAGCACAATACTCATGTAATTCTTATTGATCCATGATGATGATTATGTTAGGGATAGACCATATGACCTACATTAAGCTATGATGATTAATTAAAACATTAAAGACATTTCAAAAGGGATTCTAGATTAGCACCGAGTGAAATAGAGGGAGGAGTGTACCTTCCCACATATGGAAGGTAGAATCACTAATGTACTCATGAGATTGGAGACTATAATGCATGTAGCATAAAGAGGGTCCCAACTACATATCCTAGTTCTTGAACTATGTTGTCCCCACAGGAATACTAGCTAGTGGATCTACATAGATGCTATGTTCATGTTTTGGTACTACCTTGGAAAGTAGTCCACCTTGTTTCGGTGTAGGGTTACATCACACCGGATTCCATATTAGCTCATGTGGTTTATTCGGTTAAGTCAAGATTTTCAAAAAGGTAAAATGAAGTAATGTAATGAACTCTAACTAGGATGACCAAAGGGGTTTGACTTAGTTTAGGTAGGGATATGTTATTCTACCTGTACATTGCACTAGTTGGCCTTGAGGTAAGTCTTGGAAGGATGTTCTTATGTATGTATATGCTTATAAATGTAAATGGTATGTATATGATGATCTTACATGTTGATGGCACTGTATGATATTGATTCCACTTATAAACATGTGTTTGGTTTCTATTTCTAAAGTATGATGTTATATACTCTTAATGATATGCTATATGAAGTTGGGCATTGTTTATGGTTCTTGTTAGGTTTACTTGATTGAGTAAGGTTATGGGTCTTTTCTTAGTCATTGCATTAGTGGACTTAATAAAGATTCACGAGTAATGGTCTTGCTTTGGTTATGATGTTATGAACTCTTATTCATGCTTGTTAATGTTATAACTTGATAATACAGTTGTCTTTAATATGTGTTCAATTATGTTGATATGCATGTTGACTTGACTAGACTTAGTATTGTTGGTCTTGTGATGAACATGGTCTTGACTCAATGAATATGTACTATTAACTTGTATTGGTTCTTAAATGTGCATAATGCTTTTCAAAGTAAATTAGCATGCTTTAAATGAAATGTCCCGTTTAGCATGATATTATGTTGTGTGTGTATATGGTCCTATACTTAGTACAAGTGATGTGCTAACCCCATTTCTCCCTTTTTCCCAACATTTTAGGTTCCGGTCGTTGAAGGACTTATGACGACTTTTAGACGAAGACTTGGATTCTCTTTCTCCAAGTTGGGTAGGCCCTTACCTTTTCGAGAATGTCACTTTCTAACTTTGGATTTTGATTAGTCATAAAGACACTATGTTCATTTCTTTCATTTGAGTACTAAGATTGTATAGCCTATTTGTGGCTTTTATTGTATTGATGTATGGGCTATGTTCAATTATTATACTCTTGTTTAGATGTTTATGAGATGAGACATCCGGCTTTAAGACTATGTTATATCTTATGTATATCTGTGTGCAATAAAAGTAGAAGACTATGTAATGTTCTTACATGAAGGGTCTATGTATACTCGATATAACTATATTATGTGTATGTGAGAGGTCAATGTAAAACTCATGATATATAGAAGAAAAGTTTTAAATTTTCTGCATTTTAACCTATGAATGTAATGATGTAATCTAATAGTCTAGTCTTAGTCCTCTTTGAGGATGACGACACCGGTTATGTCTAGGGGGTGCTCCCCGAATGTGACAGAAATAGCAGCAGTAATGGGGTGGTTGACTGGAGGTTGAGCAGTTTGGATAGTTGGAAGGACTCCAGAGCTGACCAATTGGGTCTAAGGGAGGAAGACTTGTAGTCTTAAACCATGTGTCCTCCTCTTGTCCAACATACTCTCGTCTTCGATCTCGACATTCTATTCCACATCTTTTTGGGGGTGTAGAAGAGGTATTTTCCCTCTGAACATTCTCAACTGGGATCCACCCCTTGTGGGTGCTACCCTTTTTTGGCCCTTGCCTTGACCATGACCTCTTGCTGCAGGCCCCCTATACTAGCTAATTAATGGAAGCTACAAGCTTGAAAACACTGTATCACATGTTAACCATCTTCAAACAAAAGAGGGAAGTAGATTAAATACCAATTTGGATCACTGGATACCAATTTAATCAAGTCATAGCACGAAAAGGGGAAAAAATATAGAGATATCCTGATGTCTTGTAGCCTTTCCACGAAAAATACAGACGTCTCTATACTATTTCGTAAGACTCTTCTAGGATTGTTTTAGTACAATGAGACCAACAAACCTGCACTACAATACAAACCTTTCACGGCCAAGACCACATTGATTGACACACATACTAACCCTCTAGTGGGAGAAAAACTACCATTACAAAAAAAAGCAATTAAAAAAAACTAAACCATTTAAAAATACAAAAGCAGGTTCAAATGACAAATTAAATATTGAGTTCCCATAAACTCCAAAATTTTAAGAAAACAACCAAGCATAAAACCTTTAGACCAAAAAGTCACCAAACCAAAACTCTACTTACCAACAATTCAAAGAAAATGGGGGTGCAACCTGGAAACTAAACATAAGTAAAAGTATGAATCTATAGTTAGAGTTCAAAAAGAATAAACTAAACTAATGATGGATCTATTGTAGCCTAAAAGAATCGGCTCACCCTCAAATCCGATCTTGGTCAATGATCTCCTAACTGAGGTTTTTCAGTAGCCACCTAAAGGTGCCATGTACTCAACTATTAAAGATCAAGTGCAATATCAGTATACGAAACCACGGTGAAATGGTATGATCACATGGTTAATCCACTAAGAAAAATATAAAAAAGTAATTACAATATTGTAAATACACACATACAAAACACATTATTCAATTATTATCTTAGGAGCAACATACAATTTCCCAATATTAAGAACAAGTAGATATGAATGTAATAATCACAAGTGGTCCTCTCATGGAACCCACACTTGAATTGTTAGTGTTCCGAAATGTGACATCCAATCAAATATATATATGTGTCGGAACATGACAACTGATCCAACATATGTGTCAAGACATGGCACCTAGTAGAATATATGTTACAGAACATGACACCCAATCCATTTAGGACAACTGTAGTCATTATCACACCCATAGTGAACAGTTCACATAGTAAAGTAACAAGTCCATGACATGTAACTTTTCATACTTAATCATTTTCTTAGATTCTATTCATGTTTGCCACTTAAAATACATGCATGCATACAATGGAGTAATTAACACGCATATACAACACAACAGGAAGTCGAACCATCACCTACCTCGAAACCAAGCGTGAATACTCCTAAGATATTTGAGCTTCCCTTTCTGGAGTCTTACAACTTGTTCTTAGTCTAAACCAATCAATTAATTCAATAATTAACAAATAACGCCTAATTTAGCGGATTATAACAAAATATCATCCCAAGTCAAATCCATGATCCTAATGCTCAACTAGGGATTTTGCCACCATCAACTTCAACCAAAACCCTCCCCGACGACAATTAACAAGGATTCCAAGATCTACGAATCAAAATTAAGATAGGGGAGTAATTAACTTACCATTGGCGTGATAATTTGTGGAGATTTGATGAGAAACTCGTTAGATCGTCCATTAAATCTTAAGAATGCGTTTTTTTTACAGTAAATGATTGTTGACACCCAATTTGACCATTCCTCAGATTAATTAAGCTTCGAGCTTCATTAATTTCGTACGATTTAAGATAACTAGCTTTATAAAATTCAAAATGTTTTTCAAGTTATTTTAAAATAATTTCAGTAGCTTTTATAATTTTTTGATTAGTAAATATGTCTTTTATATAATTAGCTTATTTTATAAATATTCAAAGATAATCTCAAAAAGATTTTAAATTTAGTAAGTATTTTATTTAAATTAGTTTAGTTTTAATTAAACTTATAATTTGACTTATTAGTTTATATTTAAGTTATTTATTTTGTTTCATTAAATTTAAGAAGCTCGCTGATTCAATTTACGTGAATTCGTCCTATCACACCATTACTTTAAATTCTTCAATGGCTAAATTGTGGGGATTCTTATGTTACAGCAGCAATCCTAGGCCCAATTTTCACCTTTATTCCAATAACCCCAATTTAACCCAATACCCCAACTTTTCAGTCCACCACCCTTTTCTTTCACCAAATTCTTAAATCACCCCATTCTTACTCCTGGCCTACTTCAACAATTTCCTTTTAGACCCAACTTACTTTTATATATCTGACCCGGCCCGACTATTTTCTCCCCTTTCACTAAGAAAGACGACCCAAAACTTTCCCAGTACAATTACCAGAAAGGCGACAACCCCCACGCTCCGACGTTCGCATCAGATACCATCTTCACGGCTTCTTCACGCTCAGCAAGCGACGCCAAATCCAGCAGCTACAACGCGTCAAGGCACATGGAAAACAACGCTGCAGCTACGGTGAGGTCTACGCTAGCGTCGTCCTCTTCGTTTCTCTTGATAGTACTGTTCCAGTCGAGATTTTTGGCAAAACCACATGCTATGGCAGCTAAATCGTTCTTGATGGCCTTCGATAAAGCCACGTTGTTCGATAAGGAAACTCGTGTCAATCCGAGCCATTGGTCCCTTTTTACTCTTTCAATAAAGCCACGTTGTTCGATAAGGAAACTCGTGTCAATCCGAGCCATTGGTCCCTTTTTACTCTTTCGACAAAGCCACGTTGTTCGATAAGGAAACTCGTGTCAATCCGAGCCATTGGTCCCTTTTAACTCTTTCGAAAAGGGTCAAATTTCAGTAAAAAGTGTGTTTCCCCTCTTTGGTGATTTTTTTTTGAATTTCGAATTTGGGACTGGGCCTTTGGTTCTCATCCATTTTTTTTTTACTTTTTTCCCTCCCAAGAATCTGTAGCCCTAATTTTTCGGCTATATAACATCGCTTCCTGGCACTGAGAGGGGAAATTTTTGGTTTGGAATTTTCTATACAGAAAAACAGAGAGATTTTATAGTGAGATATTTCTTAGTTGAACCACATCGGGAGGATTTTTGGGGGATAAAAGAAAACCTTTTGAAAATAGTCACAGAGAGTTACAAAGCTTGGAAAAAATATTTGAAAATTTCTTCAGTTGGAATTTTAGCAAGAACTTGCAGAGAAGAGAGGTGCTGAATTACAATGTCCATATAAGAAACACGTCCTAAGCGTATATACATATTCTTTTAGTTGTGGTTTACTGGAATCTGCCAAGTTTGGGGTTCGAGGTTGGCAACGAAGTCACTCTTTGCTCGTGTTGTCCCGTCCGCTACACTTAGAGAGGTAAAACTTCATCTCAGTCCATACCTTTTATTTATTACGCAAATGCTGAAATTCGAGAATAATCTTGGCTCATTCTTTAGTCCCAAATTAGTGTATTTTTTCCTTGTTTTTGTGTGCTTGAAATTTCCAGTTCGTTTGTTTAAAACTCTTAGTGACTCTGTGTGTTTATGGACTGTTTCTTTCCTCGCCATTCTCTTGTCATTTCGCTATTAGTATTGTTAGTGGGCTGTGGGTCAATATGTTGCTAGTTTAAAGCTCAAATGATCGATCCTTGCAAATCTGTTTTGCGGGGGTTACTCCATTTCATTTATTTGACATTTGATTAGGCAGGTTAAAGAGAGAGTATTTAGAAAGAAGAGATATAAGGATGAAGGTGTGTTTTATTTATGAGGAAAGCTCCTCTATTTATACACATAAATTACACCGTCATACTATTTACTTTACATAATTGGCCGACAAACTTTTTACATGATTGGCCGACAAACTATTTACTTTACGACTTTTGTACCTTTGGCTTTTTTCAGCCGACGCAAGACGATAAAAATAAAAAAGACTCTCACTTTATACATATGGCTGATATTCAACCAACAATAATAATAATAATTTTTTTTTTTTATCTTCTTTTTCTTAGTCTATTCCAGTTGTACTCCGGGGACATAGTTATCTTCGCCATTGCATATACTCCAATTGTAAAGACATAAGAGTAGCAGATATGGAAGAA